CCACTGTCGTTGACCGTGAGCGGGAATCGAACTCGGGTCGCCGAGTTCGTAGCGCAGCTCTTACAACACAGCACTGTGGCTTGAAGACATGAGCCACGATGGACCGTATCGTAAACCCTTCGAGATACAAAGAGACCCAGTGACCCATAGAGATCCAAAGAGACACACAGAGATGCATAGAGTCGCATAGAGATACATGGAAACCTAGAGAGACACATAGAGACCCGTAGAGACTCACAGAGATACAAAGAGACCCATAGAGACTCACAGAGATACAAAGAGACCCAGAGAGACTCACAGAGATACATAGGGCCCCTTAAAGATAGACCCATAGGGACTCACAGAGATACATAGAGACCCAGAGAGACTCACAGAGATACAAAGAGACCCAGAGAGACTCACAGAGATACATAGAGACCCAGAGAGACTCCCAGAGATACAAAGAGACCCAGAGAGACTCACAGAGATAAATAGAGACCCTTAGAGATAGAGACCCATAGGGACTCACAGAGATACATAGAGACTCATAGAGACTCAAAGAGATACATAGAGACCCTTAGAGACTCAAAGAGATACATAGAGACCCTTAGAGACAGAGACCCATAGGGACTCACAGAGATACATAGAGACTCATAGAGACTCACAGAGATACATAGAGACCCACAGAGACCCCTATCTATCTATGAGTCGATAAGCGGACACGGCTCATCACTCGCACGCCCGGACGGACGCCCGCACGGACGCACCGCGACCCTCACCTGCGCCATCTCTTGCACCAGCAGCCCGAAGCCGGACGGCTCGCCGCACACCAGCGCCGAGGTGAGCACCGGCGAGCGGGAGCACGGCACGGCCGTCGCCGACAGCCCCAGCTGCTCCGCCACGCCGAACTCCACCTCGCCGGGCAGCTGTGTCGCCTGCGGCGCCGCGGTGGAGAGATGTTAACCACCTCGCCTGGTGTACAGGAGGTCGTGGGTTCACTCCTGACCCTGACGCCTGCTGCTGTATATTTGGAGTTTGAGTCTCTCTCTCTCCCTGTGGTGAGATGTTAACCACCTCGCCTGGTGTACAGGAGGTCGTGGGTTCAGTCCTGACCCTGACGCCTGTTGCTGTATATGTGGAGTTTGCGTGTCTCTCTCTCTCCCTGTGGAGAGATGTTAACCACCTCGCCTGGTGTACAGGAGGTCGTAGGTTCAGTCCTGACCCTGACGCCTGCTGCTGTATATGTGGAGTCTGCGTGTCTCTCTCTCTCTCTCCCTGTGGTGAGATGTTAACTACCTCGCCTGGTGTACAGGAAGTCGTGGGTTCCGTACTGACCCTGACGCCTGCTGCTGTATATTTGGAGTTTGAGTCTCTCTCTCTCTCCTCGTGGTGAGATGTTAACCACCTCGCCTGGTGTACAGGAGGTCGTGGGTTCAATCCTGAGCCTGACGCCTGCTGCTGTATATCTGGAGTTCGCGTGTCTCTCTCTCGCTCTCCCTGTGGTGAGATGTTTTTATGGATCAGGAGGTCATGGGTTCCATCCCGACCCTGATGATGCCTGCTGTTTTTATGGATCATAGAGGTTTTTGGGTTAGATCACGTAAATATAAATGCGTCATTAAACCCGCCACCACCCGACACAAGCCAATTAGTAAGGTTTGTCGCGTAAACAAAACACATGCCAATGCGTTACTGGTACATCGCACCGGCGTGTTAGAGAGTAAAGCCACAACAAGATGTTGTGGCTTTACTCTCTAACACACCGGTGTTGGAGTCCGGAATCCAACCCAGACCCTTGTCGCTGTGAGGCTGTGTGTGTGCCGAGTGGGGAATTCTGCGCGGGTCTCAACTCTGTAGGATGCAATTAATCTCTCTTATCGCTGCTGCTGCGGCTGCATTCCGAGCGCAAGCCAAACAGAGCAACGGGTAACCTCACGGCTGAGCCCTTTAAACTCCATTACTGCCTTGAAAGGGAAACGGGAGAGTGTGTGGCCGTTACGTGATCCTTGCTGCATTGGCGAGGTGCAGAGACAAAGATGGGCCCCGTGTATCCTGAACGGACTGTCAGGGCAAGTGCTGTTTGCGAGCAGCAGAAGCGGCGGCTATTAAGGCCGGAACGGCACACGAAGGGGTTGGGCAGCAAGCGGCACGCCCGGCCGCCTTTGTCTCCCCGAGTGGCGATGTTTACGACACGCCGCACCAGGTACTCAATTGAGGCTGAGTGGACCTAGGGGAGGAGGCCCAGGATCGGTGCAGATAATCGTCGCTGGCGTTGGTGGTGGTCGTGAGAGGGGAATCGAACCCGGGTCGCCGGGTTTGTAGGGTGCTACCCGTTGCACTACCGCTCCCCACTGCCTACGCACACACCACTACCACTCCACGCCTGTGCCGTGCCAGGCCAGGTGCACTTGAGGCCGCGTGAAGTGTCGAAGGCCCGGCCGACAGGACTGAGATAACTGGCAGATGCACCCAGCTATGCCCTCCCCTCCACTGTGCCACGCGCACACACGTACCCAACACGTACCCAACACGTACCCAACACCTCCCATCTGCTAACCAGCCCTCACCCCGGCGCCTTGTCCGTTTGCGTCTTGTGCATTAAAAACATGAACACGTGTCCGAGGACACGCCCGTGCTATCCGCAGCACTTCTGCCAGCCGGGACCACAGCCCGTCACGACCGCCACGTACACACACACACACACGTGGGCCTCCAGACCACCACGGTCTGGACAGATGAACATTCCTAGAATGCCACGGCAGAAGAGTTGGGGGGAGGTGGGGAGTCTGGGCGGGGCCGGTGGGTGGGTGGGGGTGGCAGAGTCAGCGGCAGCCTGCAAAACGGTGGGAATTAATCTGGCAGGAGGGGAGCGATGATTTGCCGCGGTGCGTCATCCCAAGGGGAATGTGCCCATGACGACGCCAGCCACCCGAATCGTCGTCCCGTGCCCTGCCCCTGCCCTCCGTGCCGAACGGCGGACGCGGCACTCGCACGGTCCACGCACCGCACGGGCATCTGCGAAACAGAGCTTTGTAGCTCTTCGGATTTCTCTAGGAAAAAACGACTCTACACGCTAATCGGAGGTCCGCGCGAAGGACTACAACACTAACCGCAACAAGCGGGCTCGAAAAAAACGAGTTTGTCAATCTATACTCTTTGGTTCTTTCGGTAAAGTCACGTGGGTAGAAAACTAAATAATAGATCACGGTGTTTCGATCGTAACAATAAGCAATCGTCTTCAGGTGAGAAACGGAAACAAGCCGCTGTGACGGGGCATTATATTGACCCTCCCCCCCTCGGATCATTATGATGCCCTGTCACAGTGGCTTGTTTCTCTTTCTCACCTGAAGACGATTGCTTGTTGTTGAGATCGAAACGCCGAGATCTATTATTTAGTTTTCTACCCACGTGACTTTACCGAAAGAACCAAAGAGTATGAATTCCTGCAGTCACGAAAGCTTCAAATCAAGTTTGTCAATCTAGACGATGATTTAAAAGTGCATCGTAGTTCCCAGTGGCTTCCTCGGAAGGGAGAGAGCGGTCCAGACGGCCGCAGGAGCAGCAGCATCTGAAAGCGTCGCGCGCCGCCGACGATGAACGGCGACCACCGTCTTCGTTTCGACGGCTGAGCCGAAAGCCACCGCCGTGGCCGTCGCCGCGAGGATGCACGCGCCGCGATGGATGTCCATTTACGATTCCGACTCACCTTGTCACGCAGGTGCCGGACGGAGCTCTGCAGGCGCAGGATCTGCTGGAAGAGGGGGCTTTCGAGGGTGGCCCGCAGGGCGCCGAGCCGCCGCTCGCACACGTCCATCGCGTCGCCGTCCCCGCCGCGGCCGCCGTCGTCGTCGTCGGCGGCACCGCCGCCGCTGGCGTCGCCGTCGCCGGCGCTCAGCTCGCGCAGCCGCGCCTGCAGCCGCTCCACGGCAGCCACGGCGCCCTGCAGGTCCGCTGGGTGCCACCAACCGAGAGACCGTCGGCGAGGGTTCAAGTACCCAGAGAGATCACTGGCAAGGGTTCAAGTACCCAGAGAGATCACCGGCGAGGGTTCAAGTACCCAGAGAGACTGCCGGTGAGGGTTCAAGTACCCAGATAGATCACCGGTGAGGGTTCAAGTACCCAGAGAGATCACAGGCGAGGGTTCAAGTACCCAGAGAGATCACCGGCGAGGGTTCAAGTACCCAGAGAGATCACAGGCGAGGGTTCAAGTACCCAGAGAGATCACCGGTGAGGGTTCAAGTACCCAGAGAGATCACAGGCGAGGGTTCAAGTACCCAGAGAGATCACAGGCGAGGGTTCAAGTACCCAGAGAGATCACCGGCGAGGGTTCAAGTACCCAGAGAGATCACAGGCGAGGGTTCAAGTACCCAGAGAGATCACAGGCGAGGGTTCAAGTACCCAGAGAGACTGCCGGTGAGGGTTCAAGTACCCAGAGAGATCACCGGTGAGGGTTCAAGTACCCAGAGAGACTGCCGGTGAGGGTTCAAGTACCCAGAGAGATCACAGGCGAGGGTTCAAGTACCCAGATAGATCACCGGTGAGGGTTCAAGTACCCAGAGAGATCACAGGCGAGAGTTCAAGTACCCAGATAGATCACCGGTGAGGGTTCAAGTACCCAGAGAGATCACAGGCGAGGGTTCAAGTACCCAGAGAGATCACAGGCGAGGGTTCAAGTACCCAGAGAGATCACCGGCGAGGGTTCAAGTACCCAGAGAGATCGCTGGCGAGGGTTCAAGTACCCAGAGAGATCACAGGCGAGAGTTCAAGTACCCAGAGAGATCACCGGCGAGGGTTCAAGTACCCAGAGAGATCACAGGCGAGAGTTCAAGTACCCAGAGAGATCACAGGCGAGGGTTCAAGTACCCAGAGAGATCACCGGCGAGGGTTCAAGTACCCAGAGAGATCACTGGCGAGGGTTCAAGTACCCAGAGAGATCACTGGCGAGGGTTCAAGTACCCAGAGAGATCACTGGCGAGGGTTCAAGTACCCAGAGAGATCACAGGCGAGGATTCAAGTACCCATAGAGATCACAGGCGAGGGTTCAAGTACCCAGAGAGATCACAGGCGAGGATTCAAGTACCCATAGAGATCACAGGCGAGGGTTCAAGTACCCAGAGAGATCACAGGCGAGGATTCAAGTACCCAGAGAGATCACTGGCGAGGGTTCAAGTACCCAGAGAGATCACAGGCGAGGATTCAAGTACCCATAGAGATCACAGGCGAGGGTTCAAGTACCCATAGAGATCACAGGCGAGAGTTCAAGTACCCAGAGAGATCACTGGCGAGGGTTCAAGTACCCAGAGAGATCACTGGCGAGGATTCAAGTACCCAGAGAGATCACCGGCGAGGGTTCAAGTACCCAGAGAGATCACAGGCGAGAGTTCAAGTACCCAGAGAGATCACAGGCGAGAGTTCAGGTACCCAGAGAGATCACTGGCGAGAGTTCAAGTACCCAGAGAGATCACTGGCGAGAGTTCAAGTACTCAGAGAGATCACTGGCGAGAGTTCAAGTACCCAGAGAGATCACAGGCGAGGGTTCAAGTACCCAGAGAGATCACAGGCGAGGGTTCAAGTACCCAGAGAGATCACTGGCGAGGGTTCAAGTACCCAGAGAGATCACAGGCGAGGGTTCAAGTACCCAGAGAGATCACTGGCGAGGGTTCAAGTACCCAGAGAGATCACAGGCGAGAGTTCAAGTACCCAGAGAGATCGCTGGCGAGGGTTCAAGTACTCAGAGAGATCACTGGCGAGGGTTCAAGTACTCAGAGAGATCACTGGCGAGGGTTCAAGTACCCAGAGAGATCACAGGCGAGGGTTCAAGTACCCAGAGAGATCACTGGCGAGGGTTCAAGTACTCAGAGAGATCACTGGCGAGGGTTCAAGTACCCAGAGAGATCACAGGCGAGGGTTCAAGTACCCAGAGAGATCACAGGCGAGGGTTCAAGTACCCAGAGAGATCACTGGCGAGGGTTCAAGTACCCAGAGAGATCACAGGCGAGGGTTCAGGTACCCAGAGAGACTGCCGGTGAAGGTTCAAGTACCCAGATAGATCACCGGTGAGGGTTCAAGTACCCAGAGAGATTGCTGGCGAGGGTTCAAGTACCCAGAGAGATCACCAGCGAGGGTTCAAGTACCCAGAGAGATCAGCAGACCACCACCCCACCACCACCTCACCACCACCTCACCACCACCTCACCACCACCTCACCACCACCAGACAACAACGATCGGAAAAGCGACGCTCGTCAACATTTTATGCACCTGGATTTTCCGGCATTCCTTCAGCGGTGCGTTTGATGCGCGGTTGCGATCTGGTGAAGCAAAGAAGAGACAGAGAGGGGGGGGAGAGGTCAAACCTGCGACTACCTCGTGACGTTGTCTATCAAGGTATCTACTTGCTTTTAAAATATCTTAACGCCACCTGTGTAAAAAAAAACAAAAAAACACATTCTTATTTTTTCATCAATATTGAGTCGTGTTTTTTTTTCTCAGAATTCGAATAACAAAAAACGGCTCTTCCTTGTTATTTGAGGTTGCCCCTGGTTACGGAGGTTGCTTGACCATTCTTCACCGCGGCTGGTCAGTGTGGGTTTAGTGAGTGAAGGTGGAGGGGGGAGAGAGGGGGGCCTGGAGTCCCGGAGTCGGTTCAGATACCACTCGCCGCTGACGTGAGCCGTGGTTGGGAATGGAACCACGACCGCCGGTTCCGTGGCCAAGAGCTATGCACTGGAGCTCTTTTTCAGAAGCGACCTGGCCAGGAATGACAGCCCAACGAAGTGGCTTATCATCGCGTGGAAATGTATAGCAGTAAAATAATGGAAATGATCTCAATGCGTCGATTCACGTAGAGAGCCATAGGCTTGCAGAGAGACCCATAGACTCACGGAGAAACCCATAGACTCACGGAGAGACCCATAGACTCCCACAGAAACACATAGACTCACACAGAGACACAGAGAATTACACAGAGACCCGTAGATTAGTGTAGATTCACAGACAGATCCAGACTTACACAGAGACCCATAGACTCACGGAGAGACACGAAAACTCACGGAGACCCACAGACTTACACAGAGACCCGTAGACTAGTGTAGATTCACAGACAGATCCAGACTCACACAGAGACCCATAAAATCACACAGAGACCCGTAGACTCACACAGAGACCCGTAGACTCACACAGAGACCCATAGACTCACACAGAGACCCACAGACTCACACAGACACCCATAGACTCGCACAGAGCACCCATAGATTCAAACAGAGCGCCATAGACTCGCACAGAGCACCCATAGACTCGTGTAGATTGACAGAAAGACCCAAAGACTCACCAAGGAAAGGAACGTGCGGAGGAGAGTGGGGGAGGTCTCCGCCCAGGAGCGGGAATTCACAGGGGTGGCGACAGCAGCACGAGCAATGAGAGGTTTCGCTTCGGATGGGGGTGGGGCGCGGGGGGGAGGAAACCGGAGGAAATGCGCAACAGCCGCTCACAGATGGATTCAAGAATCCAGCGTGGCACGAGGCCCGCGCCAGCCGCTCGTGACTGCGGCCAAGGATGGCATTGGTGGGGGGGGGGGGGGAGCAGCGGTGAGACTCCACGTGGCTCATTATTTATTTAAATGACCCCTGTAACTCAATCGGTTGTCACAACGAGTGTTGCGCCGCACCGCACTATGCTCCCGCGTCAACCCGGTGCCCAGCGTGGGGAAGTATGGTCAGATAATTCCTGTGAACCGCCTGGTGTGTAAGGAGGAGGTGGGGGCTGGGGGTGGGGCCTTCATCCAGCAGTGGATTGAGCGGGAATCAAACTCGGGTCGCCGGGTTCGAAGTGCAGTGCGCTAACCACTGCACCACCGCTCTCCCCAAAGATCCCCCGTATAGCCTCAACAGACTGTAGGGGCAAGTGTTGTTAGCGAGCACCTATGAAGGCCGGCACGGCACCCGAGGGGGTGGGTGGCCAGCACTACGCCCGGCCGCCTTTGTGTCCCCGGTGGCGATGTTTACTACACACCGCACCGAGTACTTATTTGAGGCTGAGTCGACCTAGGGCAGGAGGCCCAGGACCGGTTCAGATAATCGTCACTTCGTGTTAGCCGCGAGCGGGAATCGAACTCGGTTCGCCGGGTTCGTAGTGCAGTGCGCTAAGCGAAGCACCACCGCTCTCCCGACAAACACAATCATCATTATGATCACCACCACTACCGTCATCATCACCACCATCATCATCTTAACCACAACAGCAGCCAGCAAATAAGCAACCACTTGTGGATTAATCAATGCATGGCGACGCCTATGACAACAAGTCCATTAACAACAAACAACGACATCACCACAACCACCATCACCACCATCAACCCCAACATCAGCAGCACCATCAAAGACAAAGATGCCCCGTATAGCCTCAACAGACTCCTGGGGCAAGTGGTGTTAGCGAGCAGCACCTACGGGTAGCCAGAACCACGCCCGGCCGCCTTTGTCTCCCTGGTGGCGATGTTTACACACACCGCACCAGGTACTCATTTGAGGCTGAGTCGACCTAGGGGAGGCCCAGGACCTGTTCAGATAATCGTCACTGGGTGTTGGTGGCCGTGAGCGGGAATTGAACTCGGGGCGACAGGTTTGTAGCGCAGCGTAGCGCTAACCGCTACACCACCGCTCCCCAGCACCACCGCCACAACCACCACCACCAGCGTCATCAGCAGCAACATAATCACCATCACCCCCACAATAATCACCATCGTCATCATCAATCACCACGACTACCATCACTACCACCACCATCACCACCTATCATAATCACAACAACCACCACTACCACCACCTATCATCACTACCATCATCACCACCCATCATCACAATCACTACTACCACCATCACCAACCCACCATCAATACGATCGCTACCACAATCACTATCCCATCATTACCATCACCCCCAACATTACTATCCCATCATCACCATCACTACCACAATCACTAACCCATCATCACCACCCACCATCACCACCACAATCACTACCACCACCATCACCAACCCATCATCACCACCCATCATCATCATCACAACCACAATCACCAACCCATCATCACCACCCATCACCACCCATCACCACCACCATCACCCCCCATCACCACCACCATCACCCCCATCATCATCGCCATCACTGCCACAATCACTAATACCAACACCACCACCATCACCCCCCACCATCACCACCATCACCCCCCACCATCACCACCACCCATCACCCCCCATCACCACCACCCATCAACATCATCACCACCACAACCAACACCATCACCCCCCACCATCACCACCACCCATCACCCCCCATCACCACCACCCATCAACATCATCACCACCACAACCAACACCATCACTCCCCACCATCACCACCACCACCATCGCCGCCACCACCATCGCCACCACCACCATCACCACCACAATCACTACTACCAACACCACCACCATCACCACCATCATCACCATCACTACCACCAACACCACCACCATCGCCACCACCACTACCACAATCACTACTACCACCATCACCACCACCACCACCGGCTGTCGTAGCCGCAGCCGCAGTGAGTCGCGTCACTCGCGCCCCGCCGAGGCCTGCCCGGCCTGCCTCAGCCGGCCGCCGCTGCTAACAACGCAGGCCCCGCCATACCTCCCCCCTGCCCTGCCCGCTGCTGCTGCTCGATGTTGTCGTCGTCGTTGTTGTTGTTTGTGGATGGTGGTGGGTCAGCGATGGCGGTCGTCGTCGTCATGACGACGACTCGGCCGCGAAGTTTATTTTTTAACTTCTTCGCGTTTCGCCGATGGAGCCTCGCGCTCCGCGATGACCGCTTAAGGTTCCGCCGCCGCCCGCCGCTGTTTGTTAGTTTGTTGTTGTCGTTGTTGTTTGTTTGTTTTCTTAAAGAGCGAGGTACAAACCTGGCCGACGATGACTGATCCGCGGGCTGCCACTGCTCCGATCGGTCCCGTTAGAGTGGTGGGGGGGGTGGGGGCAGCCCACACCACGTGACCCAGCCGGGTCAACCGAGGGGCGGGGCCACCCGGGGGAAGCGGGGGAGGGGGGAGGTTGGGGGTGGGGGCAGCCCACACCACGTGACCCAGCCGGGTCAACCGAGGGGCGGGGCCACCCGGGGGAAGCGGGGGAGGGGGGAGGTTGGGGGTGGGGGCAGCCCACACCACGTGACCCAGCCGGGTCAACCGAGGGGCGGGGCCACCCGGGGGAAGCGGGGGAGGGGGGAGGTTGGGGGTGGGGGCAGCCCACACCACGTGACCCAGCCGGGTCAACCGAGGGGCGGGGCCACCCGGGGGAAGCGGGGGAGGGGGGAGGTTGGGGGTGGGGGCAGCCCACACCACGTGACCTAGCCGGGTCAACCGAGGGGCGGGGCCACCCGGGGGAAGCGGGGGAGGGGGGAGGTTGGGGGTGGGGGCAGCCCACACCACGTGACCCAGCCGGGTCAACCGAGGGGCGGGGCCACCCGGGGGAAGCGGGGGAGGGGGGAGGTTGGGGGTGGGGGCAGCCCACACCACGTGACCCAGCCGGGTCAACCGAGGGGCGGGGCCACCCGGGGGAAGCGGGGGAGGGGGGAGGTTGGGGGTGGGGGCAGCCCACACCACGTGACCCAGCCGGGTCAACCGAGGGGCGGGGCCACCCGGGGGAAGCGGGGGAGGGGGGAGGTTGGGGGTGGGGGCAGCCCACACCACGTGACCCAGCCGGGTCAACCGAGGGGCGGGGCCACCCGGGGGAAGCGGGGGAGGGGGGAGGTTGGGGGTGGGGGCAGCCCACACCACGTGACCCAGCCGGGTCAACCGAGGGGCGGGGCCACCCGGGGGAAGCGGGGGAGGGGGGAGGTTGGGGGTGGGGGCAGCCCACACCACGTGACCCAGCCGGGTCAACCGAGGGGCGGGGGCCCACGGGGGAAGCGGGGGGGGGGAGGAGGCTGGGGGTGGGGGCAGCCCACACCACGTGACCCAGCCGGGTCAACCGAGGGGCGGGGCTACCCGGGGGAAGCGGGGAGGGGGTCGGGGGAGGAGGCTGGAGGAGCGGTGGCGCAGTAATTAGCGCCGCCGAACAGAAAGTAAAAACCCAGGTACGTGCGGTCAGGGGAGGCAGGGGAGGCAGTGATGGGTGGTGATGATACTCCAATAAAAATAGCTGTTACGAAAAAAAGAAATAACCAAATAAAATAAATATTACAAATGTCCCACTGATCTGTGTTATAAATGTCATTTTTGTACGATTCCAATCATTTTTTTCGTCAAAATCACCAAATTTGCGGAGCTGCTTTGCAAATACAGGGAGAGACGAGAGGTGAGGCAGCGACGAGCTCTGCCTCCCCTCTGATTGCGCAACCCCTCAGTACCTGGAGCACGGGCAATAAGCGCGTGCCTGTTACTATTGTAGTGACATAAGAAGGGAGGGGCTGCTGTAGGCTCTGGGTTCCCAGGTGGGTCCAGACGCGTAAGCCTCTGGGCGCCAGGCACTGGGTTCCCAGGGGGTCCAGACGCTTTTAAGCCTTTGGGCGCCAGACGTTGGGTTCCCAGGCGCTTAAGCCTTTTTGGCGCCGCCAACGGGGGGGGGGGCTGTGTGTGCTCTGTGGGATGTCTGGTGGCGCACACGGCCCCACCCCTCGTCGGACCAGGCATAAAAGGAGAGCTCCCTGGACGATCGGGGCCCAGTTGTAACTCAAGACCCAAGACCCACGACCAGCCATCTGAAGACCCTGGGATGCTGTGAGAGCCAGCGCTGGGACTCTGGAACTCCCGACTCTACGACCTTGTGAGGGCGAGCGTAGCCAGAGTAGAGTATCTAGAGTATCTAGGCTGTGTAGCTAGGCTGTGTACCTAGGCTGTAACAGAGTATCAGGACTGTTGGAGTGTTGTATTGTAATAAAGAAGTTACATCTACAAGTGTCTCCGGAACCCGTTACACTATCTCAGTGTGTCACCAATGTGATGTTTGTAGACCCCTTCATTTCATGTCCTCGCCTTCCATACTCCAGGTAACTTATTTCACGTATGTGTATGTCAAGGCCGTAGACATGGAGTCAACATTGGGGGGACCAAATCTCCCCCCCCCCCCCCCAGAAAAAGAAAATCTAAATTTGAAAAATAATTTCCTGCCTAAAATATTAAAAAATTAACTAACACAGAGGATGGACTTGTTTTTTTATTTTTACGATAACGCCTAATAGTGTATTATATTACATTGCTCTGCTTTTTATATTTTCTTGTTTCATTGTATGTAATGGCAGAGATTACAACCATAACCACAATCATCTTCTTGGGTCTTTCGGTAAAGTCACGTAGAATGGAAATAATAAAATTAAACATAATAAGGTAATTCTCACGACGTTTCGGCCACAACGCAAGCAGTCGTCCTCAGGTGAAGACCAGGTCTGTCGGGGAGACAGCGTCTGAATGAAACAGCACCATGGCTTGGAGCGTCTATTTAAGCTGGGTTGGAAGGGGGGGGAAGGGCGCCTTGACAAAAGAATTTGCATATCAAGAGGAATTTAGAATATTTATGTGTGTCCCCCAATATATATTATAATTACGGCCTAGGTGTATGTAGTGGGTCAATAACCAGAGGGGAGAACTTCTGTGAGGCAACACGATATTTATTGAACTGCTCTGAACACAGGGGGTCCTGAACACAAAGGGATAACGGCCCCTTTCACCCGATACCTGCCGGGGTATGGCTGCAGGGTTTTGGTAGTACATGTTGTTTATGTCGTTATTGTGAAAATTCCGTCACAGTGCCTATGATCACTGTTACATTGCTTTCATGGCTTTATTTTGGTGATTTCGAAACGTTTTTTGGTTTGGCCATGTTTGTTTGTTGTAGTACGGAGTAAGACTGATGGCCTTAATCTAAGTTCTCTTGTGGTTGTTGTTGTTTGACTTGCATCCCACTGGGATTTTTGCACACAGCGTTGCTGTACGGTGCCTTTTCTGCAATATTTTGCTGTCTTTTCTTGGATTTTCTGTTTGCACTTAGTCACACAGTCACTTTAAGATGTTTTCTTGTTTTTTGTTTGTTGCGGTTGCACCCGATTCAAGAGCCGAATGGCTCACAGGGCTATACCTTTTCTTGGTTCTTTCGGTAAAGTCACGTAGAAGGGAAATAATAATGACCATTCAGACGCTGTCTTTCCGACAGATCTGTTCTTCACCTGAGGACGGCTGCTTGCGTTGTGGCCGAAACGTCGTGAGAATTGTATTTTATTATGTTTTATTTTTATTATTTTATTATTTCCCTTCTACGTGACTTTACCGAAAGAACCAAGAAGACGTTCTACTTAATGAAACATACTTTTAATGTTTTCTCCTACAACATCAGAGTGCAGCGCCACATTAAATACGCACTACAATGACAATAGTTTAAAGCCATTTAAAGCGTGTTTTATTTTTTTTGGGGGGGGGGGCAGACCTTTGTGACGTCATATTCGAGGGGGGGGGTCTGACTTTTTGTGACGTCGTGTGACGACGGGGGGGGGGGGGTCAAAGATCGTCCCAAATCGCGTGACGTCATTTATGGACGGCCCCTTCGTTCTTCGACTTGGAGATGACTGAGCCGGCCACTTTAGAGGTCCGGCTGATGTACAGGTCCGTGGCTCGCTCCGCCCTAGACACGCCTCCCTTCCAGAACCTTCTGGAAGGTGACGTCATCCCCCAGTCCCCCCTCACGGGGTTTGTGGGATTGTGTCCCAGGATTCCTTAGGGCGGAAGTGCGATTATCGTTTTGAATCAGCTGCCGCCTCTGAGCCGATCCATCGACGGAATCTTCGTTCGAGGTCTCGCCCCGCTGATCAACGACGATCGATGTTCATCTTCGTTCGATACCTCGCCTCGTTGCTCATCGACGATCGACGGCATTCTTGACTTGAAGCTTTCGTGACGTCAGACATCCATCCATACTCTCACCTGAATTCATACTCTCACCTGAAGACGGTCGCTTGTTGTTGCGATCGAAACGCCGTGATCGATTGCTTTTTTCTCTACCCACGTGACTTTATCGAAAGAACCAAAGGGTTATGGATCGATGGCATCTTCGTTCGAGACCTCGTCACGCTGCTCAACGACAATCGATTGAATCTTTGTTCGAGGCCTCGCCCCGCTGCTCATCGACAATCGACGGCATCTTCGTTCGAGACCTCGTCCCGCTGCTCATCGACAATCGATGGCGATGCGATTGGAAGATGCCCCGGTCGGAGCGAGCCGATGAAATGGGAACGATTTGATTTTTAAACGTCGAAACTCATTTGTGACGAATGTTTTTCTCGGTAGTTTGCTGTGCGGGTTTGCATTGTCTGGGACTGTTGTTGTTGTTTTGGTGTGGACGACAAAGACAAAGGTCCCCCGTGTAACCTCCAGAGACTCTCGGGGCAAGTGCTGTGAGCGAGCTGCGCCACGAGGGGGTGGGTGGCCAGCACCAGATACTCATTTGAGGCTGAGTCGACCTAGGGGGGAGAACCTCAGGGGACCGGTTCAGATAATCGCCACCGCTGTCGGTGGCCGTGAGCGAGAGAATCGAACTCGGGGGCTTTTGTCGAGTTCACAGCGCAGCGGCGGCGCTAACTGCTGCACCACCGCCAGACGGCGCTAGTGCCACACACAGCCACACACACACACAGACACACAGACACACACACACAGACACACACAGACAGAAACAGACACACATACAGACGCAAACAGACACACACACACACAGCCAGATACACAGCCAGACACACATACAGACAGACACACACACAGACACAGCCAGACACAGACACACATACAGACACAAACAGACACACACACATACACACACACAGCCAGACACACAGCCAGACACACATACAGACAGACACACACACAGACACACACACACAGACACATACAGACACAAGACACAGACACATACAGACACACAACCAGACACACACACAGACGGCGCTAGCTCGTGTGGCCCTGTGGTCTATGAAACTAAAACTTCCACTATTTTTTTTTATGTTACC